GGGGGGGGGGTCCCTGAAGAGAAAGGCCTAGAACAGGGCTGCTTCCTTCAAGCCACAGTGGGGTCTGACTTGAATCGTTTGACCTTCGTATTTGTCAGAGATGTTTTGTAATATATTTTCAGAGTGAAAGGCCTGCCTCTTCAAAATACGGTTTCTGATACAATGATTGTTTCTTTGCTGGAAACTTCCCAAAGTGTGCTTCCTTTAATCGGTGATGTATTTTTAGTGCTTATTGTTTTATGAGAAATCTTGTTTCTTGGGCAGCCTTATGATGGCTTTAAAAGAAGCACTTGGGCTTGGGATGCCCCCGTTAGGACAAAGCCCCCCGCACTCCCCCAGTCTCTGTGGGTGGGGGCGCGACTAGCCACGACCTCCCGAGGGCAAGGCTTCTTAGCACCGCGCCTGAGGCCCAGCAGGGCTGGAACATCCCGGCCACCTCCAGACTGGTCGGCACGGAGCCCACCAGGGGATGCCGGCCTCCGGGCCCCCTGGGCCCTCTCACCCAGAGCAGACGTGGTCGGACCCCACGCATCTAGGACCTGTCCCCCGCCCCCACCGCACACACACGCCCCGGGCCTCACCCGGACGAAGGGCGAGTGTTCCTTCGAGATCGGGGTGGGAGGGTGGGCTCTGGGTCCCTGGGCAACCTGCGGCCTCCAGCATTCCATCTGCTTTCTGGTAAACTCGGCTGATGATACTCCGAGGCGGAAAAGCCTCCTTTTCCAAAGGTGTCTGTTGCTCACCTCCAAATTCCCACTGTGGCAGTTTAGACACACGCTCTGCCCTCCGTGTGCTGTGAGACCTCGACCAGCACTGGGTGTTGAACTCCATTGTAAGGAATTGGTTTGATTGCGGGCGTCACCTGATGAGTGGATTGCTCATGACCTCCCACCTCGTTCTTCAGAGGTCAGATTAAATGTGCCACTTCTAGCCCTAGCCATGGCAAAAAGAATCACCTTCGCATCCAGGTCAGGAGGGTCAGAGCCCCTGAGTCATTCCTACATGGTGTGGGGTTGTGCACTGCACAGCCTGTGCAACTACACGGCAGGCCCGATGGTGGAACGGGGATTTGTGGGCCTGGACAATCCTAAGGGTGACCACTGGAGGGAAAGGGTGGGAAGGAGAACAGGATGGGATGAGCATCATGCCTGGGTTTCTTCATGGGCGTCCTGTCACCGGCACGAGGAGACGGGGAGTGACCCCGCCCCTCACGGCTCTCGTGCCCCTGATGTCCTGTGGCCTCCCACTAAGCCGCAGCGGCCGGAGTGGCCCTGGGCCCGGCGGGTGGGGAGCAGCGAAGATTCGATGTTCTTGGTTCTTTTGCTCTTCCTTTGGCTTCTCCATTGCCCCCACCCCTCACTCCCTCACTCCGCCTCTTCTCTCCCTCCGCTTCTCTCTCTCTCCTAACCTTGGTCGAGTCAGACTCATCACCCAGAGCTTAAGTTTTAAGGGGAGATGGGCTTAAACGCGCGTCTCCTCCACAGACGCATCTGCCCCTGCCGGCAGCCCGAGGGGCCGGGCACGGAGTGGTCCGTGCCGGGGCTGGACGGACCCCGGTCCCCTGGAGACAGGGGCGCCCCGCCAGGGGAGGGGGAGACGGCACACTGCAGAGAGCTGCTGGAGACGGCTCTCAGTCGCGACACAGGATTAATGCCGCCCAGAGAACCCCCTCCCCACCCCAGACGCTGTGCGGGCTGGTGTCTGTGCCCCCCCCACGGGACGGGCGGTTCCGTCCTCAGGCCTCCACGTGCGCAGCCACACGCACACCGCGTTACTCTCTCACTTGGTGCCGGAGGCCTAGTGCCTCTTCACGGTGGTCGTGGGGGACGGTGGGTGTGCGGGGGCCCCCGACAGACCGGGCTCTTATCTGTGTGCTCTGGGGAGGGGCATGGAGCCTAAACCTTGGCCACACGGAAGCCAGGGCGGGGAAAGGCAGCAGCGCCAAGACCCCGCCTAACAGGGCAGCGTGGCCTTCGGCGCGTCCAGCCTCCCCTGCTCCCCGGGCCTCCTGGCCACGAGAGGCTGTGCGGACCCCACCAAAGAGCCAGGGAGGCCTGGAGACATGGCGCCAGCCTGCGAGCCTCCCCGATGGGTTCTGTACGCCCGCTCCCCCGGGGCGCCGGTAGGGCCCTGTCCCCTCTGCCCATCTCTCTGCCTGTCGGATGGGCCCGGGACCTCCCATCCGTGAACCACGGAGAAGGGTACGGAGGGTGGTGTTCTCGTCTCCTAGAGAACGTTCTGGGCGAGCACAAAGCACACGTCACCTCTGGGTCAGTAGAAAGCGTGTGAGCTTTGGGGTCTCCTCGTCCCGGGAAGGACGAGGCGATTAAGTGTGTGTTTGGGCTCCCCAGGCAGCGTGTCAGAACCCGGGCAGGCGTCGCGCGAACGCAGAGCAAGCGGCTCTTTGGGGACGGGGCTCCCTGTCCGCGTCAGGGAGGCCGCGCTCGGGCACCGGCAGCACCTGTAGACCAGGGCAGGGGGCGAGCGTCTGGGGATGCGACGGGGTCCCGAGACCCTCTCCTGTCACCTGTGCTTTCAGGGAGAAGTGGTGCCACATGACCCAGGAGGAGAGAAACGACAGCCTGCGCTTCAACGAGAACATCACCTTCGGGCAGCTGGGGTGAGGGCCCGGGACGGCCACCCCACGCGGGACCGCGGGGGGACCCTGACTTGAGTGGGGGCGGGCGGGGCCGAGCTGGGCTTCTCTCCTGCGGGAAGACCCGTCCTCGTGGTGCCCAGCTGCGGTGACAAGGGGCCCCCAGAGGAGACGCTTGGCAGAGGGGGCGCCGTCCCCGACGGCGTCACGCCTCCGGGACACCACGTCGTCGTAGCTGCGTGTCCTCAAATGGCTCGAAAGCACACGACGAGTGACATTGAGGCTGGATTCCGGTTCCTAGTGAACGCACCTCCTAACCCCGGTCTCGCGGCGAGGGTGTCGGCTGGCCGGGGACGCCACCGCTGAGTCTCGCTTCTAGCACCTTCAGGGGGGCTGCGTGTCGGGGCCCCGGCTCCCCCTCCTCCCCCTGGGGAACAGGAAGGGTGCTAGCTCACGGGTGTTTTCCCCCAGCACGTTCACTCACAACATGCTGGCGTTCGGACTGAACCAAAAGCTGTGCAGCGACTTCCTGAAGAAGCAGGCGGTGATCGGCAATCTGGACGAGGGTGAGCGGGGGGGGGGGGGG